ACAGGAACGGATAAATCTTCAGATTACAAAAAAAAAGTCTAAACAACGTAAAAAGGAAGCAAAAGCAAAGAGGGGGTTAAACAAACAAACTGGGACTGGTATGTGAAGAATATCTTGAAGAAGGAAGGAGGAGGAGAGTCAGGAAGAAGATTACTGGAGAAAACAGACACTGGAAACAGGGAGGAGCCAGCCCTGGGTGCCCAGGAGCTAGGGGAGCCTGTTTCACAACAGGTTTACCAGTGGTCCATGTGTGTATTTTATGAGTGATTTAAGGGATTTCCAAAGGTTATGCTTTTGCCTTACACACTGACTTTAGAACCTAACCTTAGTGTAAGGAGCAACTCCATTGCTGATGGGCTTGAGATATTTAGATTTGGTGGGTGATTGGAACAGGAGAGGAAAAGGACTTAATTAAAGAATGATATTCTCTTGCCCTGGCTGGTTTGGCTCAGCGGTTAGAGCGTCGGCCTGCGGTCCTGAGAGACCCGGGTTCGGTTCCCGCTAAGGGCGCGTACCTCGGTTGCAGTTTGTCCCCGGCCCTGGTCGGTAGTGCGGGTGGCAGCCACTCGATGTGTTCCTTTCACATCGATGTTTCTCTCTCTCTCTCTGTTCCTCTCTCTCTCTCCCACTCTACCTGAACAAAAAAATGGAAAAATGTCCTCGGGTGAGGATAAAAAAAAAAAAGAATGATATTCTCGCCCTGGCTAGTTTGGTTCAGTGGTTAGAGCGTTGGCCCATGTACCAAAGAGTCGCAAGTTTGACTCCGGTCAAGGGCACATACCTAGGTTGCAGGGTTCAGTCCCCGGCCCTGGTCGGGGTTGTGTGGGAGGCAACCGATCAATGTGTCTCTCTCGCTTTGATGTTTCTCTCTTTCGTTCTCTCTCTCTCCCTCCCTCCCATTCATTTATCCTGGAGATAAATGGAAAAATGTTCTCCGGTGAAGATTAAAAAAACAAAAATAAAAGAATGATATCTCAGGTCTCTTCATAAACAACTGAGTAGATAGTGGTTCTATTTCTTGAGGTGATGCCCCCAAGGGAGGAACAGTTGGAGGGTAGAGATGATGAGCTCCTTTTTCTCAATATTTCATTTTTATTTATTTATTTATTTATTTATTTATTTATTTATTTATTTATTTTATCCTCACCCGAGGACATTTTTCGATATTTTGTTCAGATAGAGTGAGTGGGAGAGAGAGAGAGAGAGAAACATGGACGTGAAAGCGACACATCGAGTGGTTGCCACCCACACGACCCAACCAGGGCCAGGGACAAACTGCAACCGAGGTACGTGCCCTTAGCGGGAACCGAACCCGGGTCTCTCAGGACCGCAGGCCGACGCTCTAACCGCTGAGCCAAACCGGCCAGGGCTCAATATTTCATTTTTAAAATGCTTAAAAGTTAACAGATTGTACAGCAAACACCCACATACCCACCACCTAGATTCTACAACTCACTTATTGCTGTATTTTCTTTTTCAGATTTTCCCATGTACCCAGAGGAGTGTACTTCTGGGCAAGCTGAATTTGTGGTATCTAAGAGACTTCCAAGTGTCCTGCCTAATAGGCCGCTGGTCTAGAGTACAAAGTACATTTAGAGAGCAGGTGACACATGCTGCCTGCCCTTCTTTGCCTCCCATTCACATCAATTCCCTACAATTTGGCTTTGACATCTTCCTTCTGAAAGCGCTTTCACAAAGGACACCGACTACTGAGGACTCCAAAACTGAACTTATTATCCTCCTCCTGTACATCCTACCTTACAGTTACCCAAACTCCAAACTTGGGAGTCATCCTGGATATCTGCAACAAGCAGGGTGTATCAATACTATTTCCTAAATATCTTTAAAAGATGTCCCCTTCCTCTTTATCCTCTGTACCATTAACAAAGTTCTGGATCTGAGTTCCTCAGTTTTATTGATGTTGAAAAATTACTGCCCTGGCCACATAGCTCAGCTGGTTAGACCAGCGTCCGGATACACCAAGGTTGGGGGTTTGATCCTCAGTCAGGGCACATACAAGAAGTAACCAATTGTCCTGGCCAGTTTGGCTCAGCGGTTAGAGCATCGGCCTGTGGTCCAGAGAGACCCGGGTTTGGTTCCTGCTAAGGGCACGTACCTCGGTTGCAGTTTGTCCCGGCCCTGGTTGGTCGTGTGGGTGGCAGCCACTCGATGTGTCCCTTTCACGTCGATGTTTCTCTCTCTCTTCCTCTTTCTCCCTCCCACTCTATCTGAACAAAAAGTGGAAAAATGTCCTCGGGTGAGGATAAAAAAAAAAAAAAGTAACCAATTAAAAAAAAAGCAAAAGAAGCAATCAATTGATGTACAGTGGGTAGAACAACAAATCTGTTTCTCTCTCCCTTCCTGTCTCTAAAATCAAGAAAAAGGAACGCTTAAACAATTACAGTTTCAACCTCTGAACTGCCTCTAGACCCTCTCCAACTCATCGTCTTATCCACCTGTCTGTCCATGTAATTTATCTTTAAAAAAAAAACTTTATATCATTTTTCTTTAAAACACGTTTTTAAATTTATTGATTTGAGAAAGAGAAACATTGATTTGTTGTTCCACCTATTTATGCATTCATTGATTGATCCTTGTATGTGCGCTGGCCAGGGACAGAACCTGTAACCTTGGTGTATCCAGCTGATGCTCTACCAGGAGTGGGGAATGTCCAACTGGCCCACAGGCCCTGTAAAGACCTCATAATCAGTACCAGCTAACATCACATGCCTCACTAAATTAGCCTGACCAAATATAGCAGGCTAATTTTAAGTTGATAATTTTGTATGGCCCCTGTGAATGATGTTATAAATATCCAAATGGCCCTTGGCAAAAAAAAAGGTTTCCCACCCCTGCCACCAACTAAGCTACCCTGCCAGGGCCTTTGTCCACATCACTTCTCTTTCACAAACTTTCCCAGGTGCTTATTACCAGGTGGGCATGACTTTTAGTTCTTCAAGATCTTCCAGAAAGCATGACTAAGTCTAAATTTTTTACCTCTGCCTGGCTCCTCCCCCACACCATTTTTACTTGGTGGCTCTTGAAATACACTAACCACACTTTCTGCTTCATGGCCTCCTCCAAGACATCCCTGAGAGCCAGGCTCAGATATTCAAGTCTTCACAGAGCTAAAAATCCTTGGGGACGGTTTTTAGTCTTTTTTTTTTTTTTTTAATAGCCAGAATACTTAACACTTTGCCTAATACAAAACGGACACTGTTTTACTTTAGCTGAACTTTGCTTTGTAAATCTCCCATTTCCTACTCAAGGTTGAATTCCTCCAGGAAGCTTTCCGGGCTCCTCCAAGTAGTTTGGGGCACTTGACTCCGTTAACCACCCGCTCCTGGACTTAAATCATATTTAAATAGTTTAAGTAACTGCAATAAATGTTAACACTTTCACCTTTTCTCGGAAACTAACACCAATCCTACCCATGCAAGCTCTGTGCAAGGCCACCTCCTCCACTTAATAGTTCGCTGACCCCTAGCGAGAACGACTTCTCCAACTCAGCTCACGATGCCTACGTCTACTTAGCACTGGCATTCCTTCCTTACAGCTGCTTACTTGCTCTCCCGGTTCCCTTCCTCCCCTCCCCAGTGGACTGTGAACGCCTAGAGGTTGGGACAGTGGTCCTGCTCGTCACGGGCTCCCCGTCCAGCACTCGGCAGCCTAAAGCACGGTTCACGGACCGGCCCGCGTGTCCCTCCACCCGCCGGGGCGCTGTCACTCTCCGCGAGCTCACTGCGACCACGGCTGGGCACTAATGGGTGGTTGGCGGGGAAGAGGGGGCCCCCGCCTCCCCCTGCCCAGTCTCTGGGTCCTAGCGCCCGTTGGACGGCCGCCGGATATCCGTTTAGGGGCAGTGACACTGCGAGCGCGTGATCCCGGGATCGCCCCTCATTGGGAGGGCCGGGTTGCTGGTCGAGGGGGCGGGGCCCACTGCGGATATCGCTCTCTCATTGGCTCCCGTACTGACAGACTGGCGAAAGAGCCACTAAGATGCTGCTTGGTAAAACAGCCAACCCGGCAAAATATAAATAAGTAAATAAACAAAAGGCCGGGGGGGTAGGGGGGTACAGGGAGCGGCGGTGTTGGTTTGAGAGCCGCAGGAGTTCAGCTTGTTCTACTGCTGCCATAACCCAAGCAGGGCAAGTCTCGCTGTCTGGACCGTTGTCCTGGCAGCGGAGTCTCCAAGGACCCGAGTCTTAATTCCGGTATTTTCAGCTCTGGTTTCCTGGGGCAGCCCCCAAGGGCTGGAGTCCGGCCACCCTGTGGGCCAGCTCAGGTCTGGTGGCTGCAGCCCCTCCCCTCGGCACTGACCACTCTCCGAACTGGCCTCCCAGGTACTTGTCTGGCTGGCTGCCTGCCAACTAGACTTTGTAAAAGGTAAATCTGAACCCTTCCTCTCCCTGAAACTGCGGTGCCCTCGCGGGCAGAGGCGCCAAGATCCACTTTAAAACCTGAGGATGAGGCATTCGTGATGAGCTCCTACTTATCCTTCCAGCCATGTCTCAGAGGATCACCACCAAGGAGTCAGGCCCTTTTCAGGCTTTGTGCTTCTGCATGAGCTGTCCCTTCTGCCTGGGTGGTACCTGCTCCTTGCACCCTCTACTTCTCTCCTGGAGCCTGGAGAAGCTCCGACCTCACCCTGAGGCTGCCACCAGTGCACGCATACTGCCCCCAGCCCCACTCCCACCTCTGGGCCCTGCGCACACAGGTGCTCTGGCTGCTTTGCACCACACCTGTTAGGTTCCTGGAAGGTGAGCAACCTGACGGAAGAGACTAGCACAGTGGACACTGATAGTTCAATAGATGGATAGTCACTGAATCAACACATGGACTCAAAGATCAAAAGTGAAGATTAAAAAATGTCAGGCAGGGCTGTGGTACTTTGGGGGCTCACCAAGGATATGAACCATATCTTTTTCACTTCTGAATCTTGATAGTTAACAACGTGACCATCCTTTTAAATATGTGAATAAATTCAAGATGACAAATAGTGAAGTTAAGCCATTTATTTATGGTTCCATCACAGCCTGTGGAAAGACTTCTGCTCAGTCAGTGAGGGCAGGGCAGTGGGCCTCAGGGGCCAGTCACTGAAGAAAATCCCAGCAGGCAGGCTTAGGAGGGTGTGTTTGTATGTGAGACAATGAGGACACCAAATCCCAGAGGTGTTTACTGTAATGTGTATTTGAGGAGGGTGGGGTTCCCCCAATCTGATCCTCCAAGGCTCTGGGGTGACTCACTTTTCCTTGGGCTCAGGGGTGGGGCTGATACTTGTTCCCTGAGTTGGGTCCTGCTTCCCCTGGTCCTTGGCATCCCCTGTGTCTCCAGCCACTAGAGCCACATTCCTCAGATAATTCACATTGAAGCAGTTGGTCTGTTCATCCCCAGGACTCAGTTTACAGCAGAAGGCAGGGTCTCGCCAGAGGTTATACTGGGCACCACACAGGTCACTGATGTAAGCTGATTTCTGATGAATGAGAAGAATAATGCAGGGATGGTGAGAGAGGGGGTTGTAAGAGGTCAGGCATGGATACTTGGGTACCCAAAGACTCCCCTCCCTCAGCTTCTAATCTCTTCCTGGATCCCTTCCTGGGTTCTAGAGAGAATGTGAGGCTGCCTTGCACAGCTAGACATCCTGTGATGAACAGATGTACACATCTGGAAAGGCCAAAGCTTAATAGTAATATAGCAGTGAGGAGCAGGTCAGGTCAGAAATGAGGACTTCTGGAACCAAGAAAAAAGATCTCTCGTACTAGTTGTCATTATTTCTGTGGGTTGTTTTGAGGTGCTAAAAGTAGGGGTAGCCTCCAGGTTTAGCCATCTCCCTCCCTTCCCCTGCACTCCCTTGGAGACTGACTCCCTGCACCCATGCTCACCTCCTCCTCAGCACAGCAGGCCTGCTCTGGCAGGGGCAGGTTGCAGCAGCTGGCAGTCATGTTTCGGATTAGCCCAGGAATCTGTTTACTACGGTGGGAAAGGGGCAGGGGTCAGAATCTTTGGGAACCCCGAGGCAATAAAAATGGTGCTTGGAGACCATGATTTTGCTCTTGCCATGAGTGCCCCAGAGGGTGCCCCAGAAGGAGGTTTTTGGGAAGGGAGGAGAGTTGGGAAGAATTGTACAAGACTTACTGCTTGGAGAGAACTCTTCGGTTTCCGCAGAGATGGTCCATGAGGTTGGGGGTGACTCGGCTGAGGTCAATGGTCAAGAGATCCCTGTCGTAGTTGGGGTAGGGAGCCCTGCGGGCAAAGCACTCATCTCGGGCAGGGCTAGTAGGGTGGTGGCAACATGAGTGGTGGTGAGTCTTTATAGCCAGTTCCCTCTCACAGTATCCATCAAGGGACTCCTCCCACTGTGAGCCAGAAAAAGGAAAGTCAAAAGCTTGGACACTTGGCCCCTTCTCTCCTACCCTCTACTTCCCTGTTGCCCCATATTTTCAGGTGAGGGCCTCCCAACCCAAGATACCAAAAGGGAAGGACAAAGAACCAGAGGGCAAGGAGGCAGCTAGGGATGTGTGGGGTTGGGAAGGTGGAGGGTAGAAGCACAGGTGAGGTTCAGAGCTGGGCAAGGGAGATGAGCTGGAATAGTAGGCGGAGAGGGTCGGATGAGGCCAGAACTGGATGGATGGATGGATGGATGGATGGATGGATGGATGGATGGATGGCAGGCAGGCAGGCACACATGTGGGATCATGGGTGGATGAGGCCAGGAGTGCAGGATGAAGGCTCAAGATGAACAGACTCAGATGACGCACACAGTGGATGGATGGACATTCACAAGCAGACGGACGGGTAGACGTGTTCACAGTGGGGAGGTACGTGGAGGAATGGACCAGCAGGATCAGAGGTCAGAGATGGGCAGGCAGGCAGACAGGCTCTCCGGGGGGCTGGGATGCCCACTTACAGCCTTCCATGCACAGGTGTGGTTGTTCCCCTGCCGGCAGCAGCGCTGGAACTGCCCCTCCAGCCGGGTCAGAGCCTGCAGCTGCCTTTGGATGGGGTCAGTAGGTGGGAGGTTGCGTGGCACGGAGCGGAAGCGTCTTATGTAGCAGATGTTCTTGATATTGTCCAGTGTAGGTACCCCAGGGGGGAAAGGCAGCTCGGGGCCCAAGAATATAACAGTCTGGTGGCCGGGGCAGGCTTGGACCTTGTAGTGTGGCTTGGGAGCTTCCTCCTGGAAGCAGGAGAACCGAGCCTCCCCCTGCTCTTTGCAGCACCAGTGGGCTCGGGTCTTGACCGAGAACTCGGCCTCACAGAATTGGGTCATTGCGTCCTCCCACTAGAGCAAGAGGAGTGGATCAGCCGAGCAGCCCATTGTCAACACTCCTGCCTTCCTCCCAGGCTCAGAAAAGGACTTTGGGCAGTTAGATGGGAAAGAAGCAGAGGTCGTCTCTGCTGTCCCGGCACACCAAGATAGGAACAATGAAAGGGACCCGAGGTTCCCGCATACCCAGGCCTAGGCCTCCAGTCCTTAAAACACACACATACTGTCTGGAGTTTAAAGGACCACCCCAGGACCAAGAGCCCAACCCTTACCACAAGTTTTGTACACTCCAAGCGCTTTGCAAAGTAGCGACAGCGGCAGCAGCGGGAATATCCAGTCTCCAGTAAATTGAGGATCTCACCCTGACGACTGAGGTGGGAGTACCCAGATTGTGGCAGGTTCCAAGGGCCGTACACCACATGCTGACGAGTGGGAAGGCAGATCTGCTCCAGATTGTCTGGGGAAGGCCGCCCAGGAGGGAAGCCATCAAGCCGGTAGCCCCAGCCCCCTTGGGACCGGCTCTGTTGGCAGTGCTGGGATGGACTCAAAGGCTCAGGCTCTGGGACACCCTGCTGCTTGATGGGAGCTGGTTTTTCTAGAGTGGGGAAAACAGAGTGGCAGGCAGATCATGTGGAGGGGTAGAGAAAGGCTGGGTAATTTGGGAGGACTGAAAGAAATTGGGGTTGAAGAGAAAGGATTGGGAAGACATGGGGAAAGAGGGAAAAATGAATTTGTGGTTCTTACCTTCGGACTGAGTAGCTGAAAGGAAAAGAGAACTGAAGCATGAAAGGTGCCACCCTAATAGTCCCCCTAAATCAGGCCTGCTCCCTGCCCTGCTCCCCAAGGCTCAGGCTCCCTGCACCCCTCTGCAGAGTCCTGACCCTAAAGCAGGGGGATTTACAGAGCAGACTGTCACTCACCCGGTCCCTGCTTAGGAGGGTTGGCATTATCCTTCTGCGGTGGGGAAGACGAGTCTACTGGGGTAGAAGAAGACATGTAAGCACAAAGCATGTCGGGATGGCTCTCTCTAAAAGAGGGGAGGCCTGGCCAGTTCCCATTCAGAGAGCAGAACTGAATAGAGAAGCAGGTAAAAATAAATGCTATTTTTATGTCATTTAATCTCATAACTTTATAAAATAGGTATTATTTCCCCAATTTTACAGATGAAGAAACTAAGGCTTGGAGAGGTGACTTATCCAAATTTATACAGCTAGTAAGTGGCAGAGCCACCAAACTCAGGCAGGAGAGTGTAGAGAAGAGGGAGTTACTTACTTTCCTTCTGTTCAACAGGGAGCCGGTCAGGGGGCAGCTCTCTTTGGACATCTTTCTCAGGGGCAGGGGGATCCGCTGCATGGCTTTCTGAGCTAGAGGGGTGTCCTGAGGGTGAGGACACAGAGAAGAGAGGATCAGAGAGGTGCCAGCAAGACCACAGTGGGCTGGAGGTGAGGGCTGGGTAAGCACTCACCTGGCAATAGGGTTTGGGGAGAGGGCAGCTCCTCCTTTTGGGCAAAGATGGTATCCCACGAGGCAAGGGACTGCGCTACAGAAGGGTAAGTGTGTGAGCAGCCCGCTTCTTCTAGACAGGCAAGGAGAGGGGGCAAGGAAGACAGGGGGAAGGAAGCCAGACTAGAAACCTGGAGGGGGAACAGAGTGGACTTACCTTCACTCTGTCCCTCAAAGTTAAGGCGGTGCTGAGAGGTGTCAGCGTGGTCCATGGAGAGGGCTCGAGTCAGGGGTGGGGAAGGGGGTGCCGCATAGCCAACTACAGGCAAAGAGGGGAGACAGTCAGAGCCTACAGTTTCTACTTGATCCCCAATCCCACGCAGCTCCCCCAAACTCACCCTCTTGAAGGTACCCTAGCTGCAGCTCCCTCTGCCCTGAAGCCTTGAAGCCTGCAGGGAGGAAGGGTGAGTCAGGGTGGTTCAGAGAGACCCCTCCCGGCCCTGAGCACAGGGTGGGGAGGCAGTAGAGGTCAAGTGCATATGAAAACCCTGGCTGGTGAGCTCAGTGGTTAGGGTATTGGCCTGCTTACAGAAGGGTGATGGGAAACCAATCGATATATCTCTCTCACAGAGATGTGTGTCTCTCACATCAGTGTCTCTATCTTTCTCTCTCTCTCCCTCTCCCTCCCTCCCTCCCTCCCTTCCACTCTCTCTAAATAAAAAAAATCAATGGAAAAATATCCTTGGGTGAGGATTAACAAAACAAAACAAAACAAAAAGAGTGTAGGAAAGACAACCAAGACACCAGAAGCCCCTCCGTACTCCCGCCCTGTGTCCCCTAATCCACCCCAAACACACCTAGATGTGAATCACTGGGTTCTCAGCAAGTCTGCGATATTCTGACAGCCTCGCCTCTACCAGACTCAAAGCTTTGGGTCTCCCAAGTCTGGGCCTAAAGGGGGTGTGACAGCCAGGCTGGGGAGGACAGTACTAATCTGTCAGTGTCACTCCCTCAGGGGGCTGTCCTCCCCACAGCCTGTCTGCGTGATGCTCCCCTAGTTCTCAGAGGAACAGTTCGGAACCTTGAACTGACTGGAGCGTCACCTGTCCGTTTCCTCCACCTACCCTCCTGTTTCAGGCCCTTAAAACATTTTTGGGCCTTCTCATAAGGAGTCTATCCAGAAATTTAAGTTCTACCTTTACCTTTAGCTGGTCCCAGATCCTACTTAGTTTAGGTCTCAGTTTAGGACTGGGAAACTGAGATGATTCGGAACTGAGGTAAATCACCCCTCAGCCACAGGGAAAGGAATCACTTGTGGCTGATCTGCAGTCACAAAGACGAGGACCTGGGATGGACAGTGAGGGGGCCTTACAGAAATACAGACTAGCTCTATGATGCTCTCAACAGCTTCCCTCAGTAGCATTTGTTAGCAGCCAAGCAGATGAAGTGTGTGTGATAGAGGGTGGCTGTGTCCAGGCCCCTGTGGATGGACAACTTTTCAACTCCTCTCCTAACCAGGCAGGGAGTCAGTCAAGACTCTAGGTCAGCAAATGGGTTCTGAGCAGCCTGGGGGCCCCTTCTTCCCCTCTCCCCTGCCCAACAGGTCACATGTACATCTCCCTCAGGCAGAGACCTTCCACTTAGTGAGTCTACCTCCCCAACCCCTCCCTGGTTGTCCTTTGATTCTAATTTTGTTTCTTGGCAGCAATCACTAGGAACAATTTCTAGCAATCTCCTCCTGTGCTCCTAAAACCCCTTCCTGGTTAAAGGCTTCAGTGCCCAGGCCCACCTTGGACCTGCTCAAAAGCAGGAGACAAATGGAGAATCAACCTGCTGGTGATGAGCCATCTAGGATGGCTGGACTCAGGCCCCAGACCCATGCTGGCCAGAAGCCCTTCCCAAGTGCTGACTCCAACCCAACTCACCTCCCTCAGAAGCTATAGAAGCAGCAGCCAAACAGGCCAAGACCAAGGCTGCTCTGGACATGGTCCCCATCCTGGGGCAAAGACTGGTCGGTGGCCACCCAGGAGGTGGTCCTCTCAGGCAGATCTGAATTGGAAGGACTGGGCTGCTGGGAACCGGCTTCTCTGGTTGCTGCTACTGCTGTAGTGAACTTCAGGGCCGGCTCCCTTCCTTTTATATGACTATCTGGGAATAGCTCCCGCCCTCCTCAGCTTCCTGCAGTGACTCAGTCCCAGCTGCTCCCCCTCTGGCAGCCACTCCTCCCAAACTCACCCTGAGGCATCCTGAGAGGATTGAGAAGAATGGGGGTAACGAGAGAACATTTTTATGACCTCAAGAGAAAGCAAGAGATGTTTGAGAGCTTCTTGTGTGCCTCATTTTCTCTGTTTGCATGTGGAGAGGGAACTGATAACCTGCTGAACTGGGGTCGGGGAAACAGGCACTAAGGGAATTAGAGTGGGGAAGTGGACACTTATCCCCGCAGTCCCCAACCAGTGAGAGGCCTAGGCTGCCCCTTTTCTTAATTTTTTTCTTTTCTTTTTCTTTATATTTTATTTTATTATTTTAATTTTATTTTATCCTTACCTGAGGACATTTTTCCATTTTTTGTTCACATCTTCTCTATCTGAGGGAGGAAGAGAGAGAGAGAAAAACATCGATGTGAAAGGGACACATCAAGTGGCTGCCTCCTGCATGACCCAACCAAGGCCAGGGACAAACTGCAACGGAGGTACGTGCCCTTAGCGGGAACTGAATCTGGGTCTCTCTGGACCACAGGCCGACGCTCTAACCACTGAGCCAAACCGGCCAGGGCTATTTTTTATTTTTTAATCTTAATTAATTTATTTTTGTTATAGATGTTTCTCCTTTTCCCCCCACTGATTCCCCCCTCCCCACCCTGTCCCCACCTTTGTTGTCCATATCCATTGTTCATACATATATGTACATAAGTTCTGTGGTTTATCTCTCCCCCCACCCCCCTCTTCTGGGGATTGTCAGTCTGTACCCCACTTCCATGTCTCTGGGACTACCCCATTCCTCAGACTGTTATGTTCATTTTATTCCACAAATTAGTGAGATCATGTGATATTTGTCTTTCTCTGCTTGGCTTGTTTCACTTAGGATAATACTTTCCAGGTCCCTCCATGTTGTATCAAAGGATGAGAGATCTTTCTTACAGCTGCATAGTACTCCATTGTATATATGTACCACTGCTTTTTTATCCATTCGTCTACTGATGGACACTTGGGCTGTTTCCAGATCTTAGCTATTATAAATAGTGCTGCTATGAACATGGGGGTACATATATTCTTTCTGATTGGTATTCCTAGAAGTGGGATCACTGGGCCAAATGGAAGATCAATTTTTAATTTTTTGAGGTAACACCATATTGTTTTCCATAGTGGCTGCACCAATCTGCATTCCCACCAGCAGTGTACTAGAGTCCCCTTTTCTCCACACCCTCACCAGCACTTATTGATGATTTGTTGATGGTGGCCATTCAGACATATAGACCAGTGGAACAGAACAGAGAACCCGGATATGGACCCAAGGCAATATGCTCAATTAATATTTGACAAAGGTGGCAAGAGCATACAGTGGAGTAAAGACAGCCTCTTTAATAAATGGTGTTGGGAAAATTGGACGGCTAAATGCAAAAAAATGAAACTAGACCATCAACTTACGCCATACACAAGAATAAACTCAAAATGGATAAAAGACTTAAATGTGACTCATGAATCCATAAAAATCCTAGAAGAAAATGTAGGCAACAAAATTTCAGACATCATACGCAGCAGAATTTTCACTGATACATCACCTAAGGCAACAGAAACAAAGGAGAAAATGAACACATGGGACTACATCAAACTCAAAAGCTTCTGCACAGCAAAAGATACAATCATCAAAATGGATAGGCAATCCACTGTATGGGAGAGCATAATTTCCAATGATATATCAGACAAGGGGTTAATTTCCAATATATATAGAGTGCTCATAAAACTCAACAAAAGGAAGACAAAGAACCCAATTAAAAAGTGGGCAGAGGAAATAAATAGACACTTCTCCAAACAGGACATACAGATGGCTAAGACATATGAAGAAATGCTCAACATCACTAATCATCAGAGAGATGCAAATTAAAATTTTTTTCTTTTATTGATTTTAGAGGGAGAGAGATTTGTTATTCCACTTATTTATGCATTCATTGGTTGATTCTTGTATGTGCCCTGACCAGGGAGCAAACCTGCAACATTCTAAACAACTGAGCTACCCAGCCAGGGTCTGGGCTGTCCTTTTTAATTAAAAATTGTTTATATATATACATTTTTTGATTAAAATATTTTTCCTTTATTTTAGAGAGAAAGGAAAGGAGAGGGAGAGATAGAAACATCAATTAGAGAGAACATTGATTGGCTGCCTCCTGCATGTCCCCCACTGGGGATGGGGCCCAAACCTGGGCATATGCCCTGACCAGGTATTGAATGGGCAACCTCTTGGTGCCTGGGTTGATGCGCAACCACTGAGCCACACCAGCCAGGCCATTTTTTTCTTTCTTAAATTGTATTATTATTATTTTTAATCCTCACCTGAGGATATTTTCCCATTGATTTTCAGGTAGACTGGGGAGGGAGGTAGAGAAACATCAATGCAAGAGATACATCAATTGGTTGCCTTCTGCACGACCCCAACCAGGGCCAGGGATTGAAGAACTGAGGTACATGCCCTTGACCAGAATTGAACCTGTGACTCTTTGGCCTGCAGGTTGACACTCTAACCACTGAGAGAACTGGCCAGGGTGATTGTATTGATTTTTAGAGAGGAGAGGGAAAGAGAGAGAAACATCGTGTGTGAGAGACATATCAATCAGTTGCCTCCTGCATGTGCAACTGACCAGGGATTGAACCCGAAACCTGGGTATGTGCTCTGACCAGAAATCGAACCCGCCACCTTTCGGTGTACAGGATGATGCTCCAACCAACAGAGCCACACCAGCCAGGGCTGTGCTGTCCCTTTTCAATCTTCCCAGTGCCCTGAGGCCCCCTTTTTATTCCCCCCATCAGGAGTCAGAGATGAAGACACAACCCTAATAGCTTCAAGTTTATTGTTTTTAGTTTCACTCTCCTCACATGCGAGCAGCTGCAGCTTCCCCTAGACCAGTGGTTCTCAACCTTCCTGATGCCGCGACCCTTTAATACAGTTTCTCATGTTGTGGTGATCCCCAACCATAAAATTATTCGTTGCTACTTCATAACTTTAATTTTGCTACTGTTATGTCTTAGGTGACCCCTGTCAAAGGGTCGTTCGACTCCCAAAGGGGTCGCGACTCACAGGTTGAGAACCGCTGCCCTAGACCAAGTCTCTTTTCAGAAGAGTAGATTCGTGCCTCCCCACGCTCCAGACTGTCCGTCAGGTCAGCCTCCTGTGTCCAGAGAGGCTGATGGCTCCTGCAGTTCTGTCACATCAGTAAAAGAAGCTCAGAACAGTTCTTCAGCATTTGGGACCCTGGAGTTCTGCAGCTCCAGCAGCCGCCGCACAGCCTCAGTCAGGTCCCGTTCTCCAAGTCGACGATTATCTCGAGTCCGGATGTTCACTGTTCTGTTGCTCTGCTCTTTCTGGCCAACCACTGCAAGAAGGGAAGTTTGGGTAGCTCAGGGCACATTTATCCACATGGAAATCTCTGTCTGCTATGCAGTAACTGAAGAGACCTAACTGCAGAAAGTGTGAGAGTGAGGCCCAGACACGGCTCAGGGGAGGATCTCTTTAGCCGTCTTGCTCCTCGGTCCCCTGCTCTGCTGAGGAGAGGAACGTTTCAGGCATTCTGTTCGCCTTCTCACTCTAGGCAGGAGCCCCGGGTCGGAGACAGTAGGGTCAGCCAGAGAAAGACAGACAAAATCAAGCAAACCAGAGAGAAAGTGTGTCTGTGAACTAGAAAGGGGAGGCAGCCAGGGAGGAAGACATGTGCAAGTCCACGGGACTGTGGGGCAGCCGCTCCAAGTGCTGGCAGGGCGAGTGGCGTGTAAAACTAGAGAACTAGTTTCTGCTCCTCGCTTTCAAGGCAGAACTCTGAACCTTGTAAAATGAAAAAAGGAACAGGCAGGGCTACTTTTCTCCTACGCCCTTTCCCTCATCGGCCTTTCTCTCATCCGGTAGGGCTGACTCCATCTAGGTCCAGAATAAACAAAGCCAACTAATTGATGCCTTATTAACCCCTCCTGTCCCTTTCTCTGACACTCCCTTGGTTAATTAACCTAACAGACACCAAGAGCTCTGGCCAGGGCCAGAAGAGAACTGTTTTGCAGGTCAGAGGTAGCTGTCGGGGTGAAGAAAACTAGGGCCCAAAAGGCTCAGGCATCCTGAATCCTGGCCCCTGTCCAGCCCAGGAATTGAGTCTCAATTAAGCCAAACATGCAGATGACTAAACTTGATAAATAGGAAAGAACAGTGCACAGGGCAGGTGCCTGACCTGGTCACTTACCAAACTGAAAATTGTAGTTGGCAAGCTGAGCACGGCGGACTCTCCGGCTGAGGGTCAGTCCGGAGTCAGCATCCAGGTCGCCGACCAGTCCTCCAGCCTGCAGGCTCTGCTGTGCCTGAGGCAGAGGTTTGGTGACAGGAACGTAATTTAATGGAAGGCTAAGGAGCTCGAATAGTCTGATACCAATCCTCCCCAGACCCCCACATCGGTTCCTCCCTCCTCTTCCTCAAGGCTCTCCAGTTCTCAGACACCCCCTCGTGTCCACATTGAGGCCCTGCCCTCGCCCTCCACAGCTTCTGTGTCTGCCTCCTACTGCAGCCCAGCCTGCAGTGATTCCCTGAGCTGCCTGCTTCTAGCCGCCACTCTACCCAGCCAGCTGCTTGACTCTGGGACAGCCATATCCTACTTCTCTCCAGAAGGGAAAAATAAAACCAACAATTATACAAGCCCCCTTTTGTGCCAGGTGCTCTGTTGTCAGCATTTCATGTATGTTGATTTGTTCAATTTTCACACATCTCCACCAGGCAAGGATCAGTTTCGTTTCTCAGATGTGGAATTTCCAGCACAGGCCAGCAGCCATCTGAGCTCAGTCTCATGGTTCCAAATGCTGTGCCTCTCCCCGCACCCCATGTGTCTCTTCCTATCCACTGCTTGGGTCCCTATTAGTCTTGCTTTGGCCC